CCCAGGCGGGTCTCGAACCCACAGGCTCAGGCAATTCACTCACCTCAGCCTCCCAAGGCGGGGGATTACAGACTGAGCCACCGAGCCCGGCTTAATTTTTAACTTTTAAGGGTGAATTTGATTTTTAAAAATGGCCAAAAAGCAGAACCAGGTGTAGGTATGCATATCTCTGTTGTTTTTTATAGTGGGCCAAACTCAGAAGAGAAGTGTGATCATCATATAATGTTTATGATTCTGTCTGATACGCTAGCTTTGGAGGCAGTTCCAAAAGAGGCGTTCTCAATTTTTTTTGATCATCAAGACTATCACTGGAAATAAGTAACTTCCCAAGATGAATCTATTATGCTTATTTTGAAAAACCACCCATTGTAGTATGTACTTTAAGGGCTAGAATAAGTGATATAGCCTGTACATGCTATGGGAGAGCAAAGGAGGCCCTCAGTGAATTGCTTTGGGAAAGCCTTGAGAAGCTAGACTTGAACCTTGAAGGATAGATAGGATTTGGAAGTAAGGAAAGAGGGCTAGGAGAATGTTGTGGGAGGTGTCTCAAGAACAGAGTATATGTAATCCAGTTTATTCAGCAAACATCAACTGAGTACCTAGCATGTGCTGTACATTTGGCTGAGCTTGGGAACCCAAATGAAAGAACTGTCCAGACATTGCAGTAAACTGAGGGAGAAGCACATATAATGAATAATTATACCTCAGTATAGTAGTATAGTAGATATAGGCTACAGGCAAGGGCAGAAGAGGAAAACCTATTTCCACCTAGGAATTAAGAAAGAGAAAGAGAAGAAGGTGAGATCATGCTGATTGTGTGGTAGGACTTGAGACTTGAGACTTTATGATGTAGGCAGTGCAAAGCCCTTAGAAGAATTTGAGCAAGGTTTTAAGGGAGATTAGTGAGTTAGTGGTATGCAAAATGGATCGGAGGAGTAAGAGATTGGAAGCAAGGAGAACATTTGGAAGACTTTTGCAGTAGAACAGGCTAAATATTAGAGACACCTGAATTAGAGTTGTGGAAAAAGGTGTGGAAAAACAGGAAAAGATCAAGAACAGGTAGGGTTCTGGACTTACTTGAGGGAAATTAAAAAAGGCCACACGTTTATTCTGAACGTTGATATCTGGAAGAATGGTGATTTTGTTCAGGTAATAAGGATGAGGGGGATGGTGAATATCATATTTAACATGCCAGCCATAGGCTCATAGCACCGGGTTCTTTGGGAAAACATCAAGGTACTCTTTTAGCTCATGCCCTGAATCCCTCTACCCCTTGCCATCTCCACATCTTAGCCTAACTTTTGGATTTTAATTGCAGCTCCTCCACCCCCGCCACCCATGATCCGAAATGGTGGCAGGGATGCTCCCCCTCCCCCCCCACCATACCGAACGCATGGGTCAGAACCCCTGAGCCGAGGAAAGCCCCCACCTCCACCTTCAAGGACACCAGCTGGGCCACCCCCTCCTCCCCCGCCACCCCTGAGGAATGGCCACAGAGATTCTATCACCACTGTCCGATCTTTCTTGGGTAAGTAGCTATTTTAGTCTCATAGTTCCTGTGGTGACTTTTCTAACTCCGGTCCTTGGCTGCTGAATGGCCAGTATAGAGTGGGACTGGCCACACAATATCTTTTGTTTACAGTAATTCCCCCCTAACTTTACTTTCAGACTTATAGCCCCTATTCATTGATCTCCTTTATATGAATTATAAGCATACTTTCTTTGGATTAAAGTAAAATCAACAAGTGTTGTGGTAACTCTAAAGCCTCCCTTGTGCCCTCAAGGATCATTATTTGTGGTTTGCTTTTAGATCAGAGACTCTGTGTCTTCTTTAGGATTATTCAGACAGGAATTATGTATCCTTCTAGGAAGGTGAGCCCCTTTCTGGCTCTTTAAAAACAAAACACCACAGTGTACATTAATCCAAAGCACTAACTAGCTAGCTATGTTACCTAGAGGAAGTCACTTTACTTCCTTGGGTTGCACTTTCCTTTAATGTAAAAAAGAGACTGACGAGATCAGGAGCATATCAGATGAACTTTTCCAAGGTTATAAATGTTGGGGCTGCTACCTAAGAAACTGTAATTCATGACCGGGTGCAGTGGCTCACACCTGTAATCCCAGCACTTTGGGAGGCTGAGGCGAGAGGATTGACTGAGTCCAGGAGTTCAAGACCAGTTTGGGCAACATGGCCAGACCTCGTCTCTACAACAAGTCAAAACATTAGTCCGGCATGGTGTCATGCTCCTGTATTCTCGGCTACTTGAAAGGCTGAAGAGGAAGGATCACCTGAACCCAGCAGGTCAAGGCTGCAGTGGCTATGAGCATACCACTGCACTCCAGCCTGGGTGACAGAGGGAGACTCCTACTCAAAAAACAAAAGAAAAATATTCTAATTCATGGTTCTGGGGATGAAAACTTTAGTGAAAGTTGTCCAGAAGATGTTGTTAGGCCCTCTATTGATGTCCTCTAAAATAGATCTATAAGCCCGGCTCGGTAGCTCAGCCTGTAATCCCATGCCTTGGGAGGCTGAGATGAGTGGATTACCTGAGCCCGCGGGTTCAAGACCCACCTGGGCAACTTGGTGAGACCTCATCTCTACAATAAATCAAAAAATTAGCCGGGTGTGGTAGTGAACGCCTGTAGTTCCAGCTACTTGGAAGGCTGAGGCAGAAGGATCATTGGAGCCTAGCAGGTCGAGGCTGCGGTGGCCGAGAGTGGCCACTGCACTCCAGCCTGGGCAACAGAGTGAGACTCCAACTCAAAATAAATAAATAAATAAATAAAATAGATCTATAAGGTTCCTTGCAACCCTAACACTCCAGATTCTTTTTTTCCCCCCAGATTCTTTAATGATTGCTCTCCTTCCCTATTCCTGTTAGGTAGATCAGGGTTTCTTTTTTGTTGTTTGTTTTTCATTTTTGAGACAGCATTTTGCTGTGTTGCCCAGGCTGGACTTGAACTCCTGGGCTTAAGCAATCCTCATGCCTCAGCCTCCTGAGTATCTGGTATTAACAGGTGCACACCACCATGCTTAGCTCAGGTTTTTGCTTTTAAAAAATGTTCCAGCCAGGCACGGTGTAATCCCAGCATTTTGGGAGGCTGAGGCGAGAGGATTGCCTGAGTACAGGGGTTCGAGATCAGCCTGGGCAACTTGGTGAGACGTCGTTGCTACAAGAAATCAAAAAAATTAGCTAGACATGATGATGTGCGCCTATGGTTCCAGCTCATTGGAAGGCTGAGGCGGAAGGATTGCCTGAGCTCAGCAGGTCTTGGCTGAGGTGGCCATGAGCGTGCCACTGCACTCTGGTCTAGTGACAGAATGAGACTCCAACTCAAAAAAGCAAAAAGAAAGTCCTAATTGTAGAAACCTTTGGAATGTGTTCAAGCCACAATATAGAAAATGTGAGCCTTCTTTTGGAGAGGCCATCAATAGTGGGAGTGGGGCCATGAGATGGCTGTCCCAACTGTGTTGCAGGGCTAAGTGAGGGTAACCTGGACTGGAAAGGAATTGGTCAAATCTCTCACTAGCTGGAAACACATTTTCAATTTTAAATTAACTTCTATCAATTTGTGAATTTAGTTCAGTTAGTTTCTCATGGTGACAGTCCCTAAGATGACCATGTTATTGAAACAGAATTATATTTCTTTCTGCTTCCATGCAAATAGCTAAGCTTCTTTCCTGTTAAGTGCCTGATTTGTAGTGGAAAGATGTAAAGACTCTTTATGTGGAGAGCCTTGGAACACATCCTTTGTGTGTGAAAGGCCCATGGGGTGAGTTGCTGTGCTCAGGAACTTGGTTATTATGGTGAGGCGGTCCCTCACAGAGCATCAGAGTACGTGAGAGGTGAGTAAGCAAGGTGGGTCTTCAGTAGCCAGAGGTCTGTAGAAGCATAAGCAAGAGTGATAGGAAGTAATATTCTATTATTTTTGCAGATGATTTTGAGTCAAAGTATTCCTTCCACCCAGTAGAAGACTTTCCTGCTCCAGAAGAATATAAACACTTTCAGAGAATATATCCCAGCAAAACAAACCGAGGTGAGAATAGTAGTAAAAAAAGTTTTTCCATAATTGCATAGTATGTAGAATTTGTGTTTTCTTTTTTTTTTTTTTTTTTTTGAGTAGGAGTCTCACTCTCGCCCAGACTGGAGTGCAGTGGCTGCTCCCAGCCACCGCAGCCTCGACCTGCTGGGCTCCAGCGATCCTTCTGCCTCAGCCTTTCAAGTAGCTGGAACTATAGGCGCATGCTACCACGCCCGGCTAATTTTTTGATTTATTGTAGAGATGAGGTCTCGCCAAGTTGCCCAGGCAGGTCACGAACCTGCGGGCTCAGGCAGTCCACTCATCTCAGCCTCCCAAAGCGTGGGATTACAGGCTGAGTTACTGAGCCCGGCATGTATATTTTTTTATGTTAAAATTTGTTTTTCTTCGTCTTCATTTTCTTAAAACAACAACAATAAAACAGTTCACAGATTTGGAAGATCAGCTTAAAGAGCCCGTCTTTTTTCAGGAATGTGTGGGTTGTTCAGAGTCTGGTGGGTGATCTGTATGTGTGTGGTTTTATTTTGTTTTTTCAGCTGCCCGTGGAGCCCCACCTCTGCCACCCATTCTCAGGTGAAGCCTGGCTTGGTCCTGTTCCTCAGGAAAAGAGTGGACCTTCTCTACTTCTCAGATGGTCCCTTCCATTCCCCTGAACCTGCATGAGAGCTCCTAATATGTTTCTCCAGTGCAACCAACCCCTAGACTCCAAGCGTCCTCCCAGCTCACCTCCATCTATGCATCTCGTCTCTGGACTTGGTGATTGGACTCTTCATATCGACAGGGGGTCTCACATCCTGCATCCATCCTTCCTCTAGCAAGCCCTGCTAGCCAGATGAGAAAAAAGCTTCTGTGTCTCCTGCTTTCCTCTTGGGGAAAGGTGCCTTGTTGTGATGAACTAACTCATTGTTGGGTCAGGGTATATTCCCACTGTGGGGAAGTTTGGCAGGTTTATTATTTTCCATCATTTAGGAGGCTGGCATGACCAGGACTTCTGGTTGGGAGGGGAGCATTTTTAGTTAAACAGGAAAGGATTTTGCAGAGAAGTGATCTGTTTTAAAGGTCGACTTTGGAGAAAGGCAAGGAAATGGGTCTGCTTTATTTTTAGGGGTATTTTGTTTTTGTTCTTACTCCCTCACCCCCATCCCAGGGATAAGTTGGATATAAACACTAAACACTAATCAGTTGAACTTAACATTTAATAAAAAGAAGAGGGTGAAATGAACTGAGGATCATTTTAGAGCTAGTCAGTTCCTCTGTAGCAAAGGGACCAGGAACCATTTGAGTCCTCTGGAACTCCCTGCCCCATTTCTTCAGGGTGCTAGGCTGAGAGAGGCTTCTCCCTCCACCCCAAGCCCTCAAAAGAAAAGTTACTTTGGGGGTGGCATCATTCACTCCTGATTCACAAGCCCTAAGACCTCTGGTGGGAGATAGGAAGATAGGGTTTGGGCCTTGGCCTTGGCCTTAACTGTGACCTTGAATCTGCCTCAGTCTTTTCTGACTGGCCCAAGTGTTCAGCAGCCCTTTCAGTCCAGGATGACAAAGAAGGGACGGGTGAAGCACCTCGTGGAAGGGGCAGATGATGGGACTACAAAGGACTTTAAGGCCTATTCGTACTAAAGTTCACCGCCCATCCATGTTACTGAGCAGGCTATTCCTTTTCCTTTCTCCACCCCCCTTATCTTCCCAGGACTGCAGAAAGTAGAGAAGGGTGAAGAAGTGAGTAGAGGTTTTTGGGGATATTCAAAGGTATCCTCTATGCCAAGAAGCACAAAGACTTTGGTGAGGTGTGCCTCAGTCCAGTAGATCTTCCTTGGCAGCAAGCACTATGTTTCATTGTCTTCCAGGTCATAGTTAAAGAGCACAGAGAAAATGGAGGTTCCCAGTCTAGGCAGGAACTGAGTTGGATGATAAGATGGGACTTCCCCTTCTCCAATGGTAGGATGGGGCATCTGGACTTGACACACCAGATGCTTTGGTCTGCTACAGCTGTTACCATGTATAGAAGCTGTGATCAAAGCTTGGAATGAATGAAAACAGGGAGACCATGACTGTTCGTTGAAATGGATGGGGAAAATTAGTTTAAACATTTTATTAGACACATCACAGGCCTAAACCACCTTAGGGACCTTCCCAATCTATTGGATCGCAGGCTAAGGATCTGTGTGTGGTGTCAGGCAAAACCCAAGTCTTCCCAGTGCTAGGTGAGGGACGGCTCAACTTGGGGTGTTTGTAATGAGTTCTGCTCTTCTTTGCCATCCCCTGGACCACATTTACTCTTGGGACAAACCATGACTGGTCTGTCACCAGACTTTCTAATCATTTTTTGTTTATTGTTCTTTTCTAATCTGCTAGCAGTTATCTCCTGGAAGTCTCCCCAGTATTCTGAAGTGAACAGAGCTAGTGGAGAGGAAAGGAGAGCTACAGGAGTTGATACTGCAGCAGAGCTCCAGGGTAGATGCTGACAAGTTCCTGAACTTTGACTGTGAAGTCTTCCCATTTATTTTTGAAATGGGAGTCAATGCCTTTTGTACAATATTATCCAAGTGTGTCTTTTTTTGTTTTTCCTTAACTCAAACATACAGCATCAAAATATCACAAATAAAGCCAAACCCCAGCTTTTCACTGGGGCTGATATCTTCCTCCCCATGACCTGCTGCCCTTCATATTCCCCGGCATTTGGACTGTGTCACATATGGGTATTGATTGTATATTTGTTGTCTTGACCTGGTGAAAAAAGGCCCAGATCTAGATCTGGTCACGTGGGTTTTCTTCTTCAGAGCATGTTGATGACACAGCACCTGTTTAAGTGTCTTTGCCTTATACATTATTTGGTTCCACTGTTAATAATAGATTTATTATCATGTATATTTACTATTGAAGATGGGAATGTGACCCTTATAGTTACTGGTCTATTTTGTATGTTGTAAAAAGCTTATAATATAGGTTTAAGGTGGGCTGGCTACAAGAGCACTACACCTCTCACCTTTTAAACTGCTCTTTTTATCTGCTTGTGGAGGGTTGTCTCTTCGGTGGAAGATTGGGTGGTCTCATGTTGAGGCTGTTGCCCAGTCCAAATAACTCCCTTTTCCCCTCCCAGAAGGAAGAGACATTGCCCAACTAAGAAGCATCAGGAAGCTGTGTTAAAAGCCCTTGTGTGGGTTTGGTTTTGTGATGTTTTTTCCTAGTGGGAAAAATGTAATAGTTTCTTAGCCACCCTGTCTGGGAAGCAGGGCAGTGGTCTCCAGGTTTTTAAATTAACTAGATTTCCCTCTTCTCCCTTCTCTCTGGTCACCAAACCTGGACCAAAGCGCTTTGATATTCCAGGTATGGTTTTCTCTGTCATGGGGATTTGCTCCAGCTGCAGAGCCCCATCATTTTCACGGTCTAGGCCAGCAGAGAGAGAGCCTAGGGCTACCCCATCTAACGGATGTGAGACTGCTTGGTCTCCAGGAACTCTTCCCAGCCCTCCTAACTGGCAAAGCAAGGAGACTCATCACTGGCCATTGCGCTGGGGGAATCCCCCCACCCTGTGGCTTCCCAACTTAAAACCCAGATTCACCTCCAGGGATTGGTGAGAAAAAAAATTGTAAATAGACTTGCTACAGAGCAACTCAGGGTTGGGGTGTGTTTTAATTCTCCTGATCACTTGAAATAATCTGTAGGCTGAGTGCTTATAGGAGTGGGGGAGAAGTGTAACTCCAGGGTCCTTCCCTTCTGTGAAGCTCTGGGGGTGGAGTGTAGGGCATCTGAGGCCCTTTGATAGCACTACACTGAGCTGCCTAACCTTCTGGAAACCCAACCTGCAATCAACCGCAAATCCGATTCTTCACATTCCAATTGTAGTCTTTCCTTCCCTACTGAACCTCAGTCCCTGGTTGTGTGGTCAAGGTGGCTTTCTGTTAAGCCACCTTAATTTAGGGAATGGGAGAGGAGAGAGGAGGGCCATTACAACTCTGCCTTCAAGACTCATCTCTTAAAAATGAAACAAAATTACAACCACCTTCAAAATCACATGCAAAAAAAAAAAAAAGATAACTTGTTTATCCGAAGGAAGGGTTTGGTTCCATTCAACTCCACGTTCATTGTGCCTTTACTTGTGTTAGATTTCTGTGCTTTCTTCCTCTCCCTCTTTGAAGCAATTAAAATCTTCCTTGGTAACGGCTGTTTCCTTCTTTCAACTCTTGTTTCTGGCAACTTAGTGGGTTCCTTCTCTAATTATCTTAAAACTCATTCCACTGGTGACAGAGGGGCCTGGCCTTCTTTTCTCATGTCTAACCTTTGTCCTTTCCCACAGTACCCAGCATGAAAAGTCACCGTTAACACTGAATAAGAGACTAGAATGACACGTGTTTGTGCACGTGTGTGTGTGTGTGTGTGTGTGTGCGTCTGCATGTGGATCCATTTCATTACAAAATAATTTATTGTATGATTTATTTTGGAGTTGTATTCTGATTACAGTGCTCCCTCTCCCAAATAGCATTGATTTTTTATTTCTCCCTCTAAATGTATACTCTGGTCTCAGGTTGGATTATTTGGTATATTTCTTTTTTCTGGATGCCGTGCAGTTTAATTAAACCTTGCTTAAAAACAAAAACAAAAAACTGAAAACTGTGTACTCTTGTTGGGAAGACTGCCTCAAGTGATGACATAGAGAGGGAGGAAAATCTGCTGCCTCGTCTTCTGGGTAAATTGGTTGGTGTGATTCTGAATCGACTGAGAAAGATGTGCTGATAGGCAGAATCATCTGCAGCTTCCCAAGGGCTTTTCTCTCCTCTTCTGCTTCTGTAGATTTGAAAATCACAGTTCTTGTTGGCCTTTCTGACCAGGAGACTCTCGTTTGCGCATGATTTCAGGGAACCCAGGAGGCTCCCCTGGCTTTGTGTCTTTTCCTTCTGTCCCTTAGGATTCTACCTGGGTGGCATGACAGAGTCTCAGATGGAATGGGAGAAAAGGTGGAGACCAAGCATACAGACTGTATCTATTTTTACGTGGGTGCTGGCTGTTTTTCTTTGCTGAATTTTTAGCTGAAATCTTAGCTGGTTTTCTTGAACTTTGACGTTAGGTGTAAAAATTCAGCCAGACATTCTCTGCTTTCTGTGGTCAGCCAACATAATAACCACTAAGGAAGACTTAATGAGCTTAACTTGCACTTTTCATTACTGGCAAAGGTCTTGAAATTATTTCCCATACTGATTCATAATGGGTGTGTGTATGAATCACTCTCACATAATTTAGATATAAAAATCTATGAGGGTAAGGGGGGGAGGGGAAATAAAGGACTCCTTTCATTTTCATCCATACTTTCCAGGTTGGCTGAATCCCTGATTATCTGACCCATCATTGTTATTAATATGATTAATAAACTACCTATTTATTGATTTAATTGTTCCTCCTGACTTTAAATAGCCTGCAAATGGAGCTTACCTAAATGACCTTCAACTGCCTAACCCTATAAACTTTGTCTTATTCGGATGGTATTGCTAATCTGAATGTGTGAATACACACAAACACACACACACACACACACACACACACACACACACACACACACATGCACGCGAGCCCAAGGATGTCAGACAAGTCTTTCCAGTGTGATTTAATTCTTCCTCCATGATACTGTGTATGAGTTAGCAGGTGAGAAGAACACTGGTTTGCTCACTTCACTACTGAGGCACAGCTGCTTGCCATGAATGTGCTTCTTAAGTATTTCCTGAACCAACCCAGCCATAGAGACTCGCTGGAAGAGCTGCCTGTCTGACTTCCTAGTACTCTGCAGACAGAGCTAAGAGAACTATGAAAAATGAATTAGAACTAGGGCTTGGTGGCTCAGCCTGTAATCCCAGTGCTTTGGGAGGCCGAGGTGAGTGGATTGCCTGAGCCCGCGGGTTCAAAACCCGCCCTGGCAACTTGGCAAGACCTCATCTCTACAATAAAAAAAGAGAGAAAAAAATCAGCTGGGCGTGGTAGCGCGTGCCTGTAATTCCGGCTACTCAGAAGGCTGAAGCAGAATGATCACCAGAGCCCAGCGGGTCGAGGCTGCGGTGGCTGGGAGTGGCCACTGCACTCCAGTCTGGGCGATGGAGTGAGACTCTAACTCAAAAAAAAAAAAACAAGTGTCAACCTCAGGATCCTGACCACTCCAGAGGATAACTGGGGAAATGCTTTGCTTCTGACATCACTGGAGTCCAGTCTGGATCGTTTTTTACACATAATTGAATTCGTTCTCCACCCTATATTGAGGGGTGTGAAATTTAAAGAACTATATACTGTTTAACCACATAAAAGTGGTTTGTGCAAAGGGTGGATGTCCACTTGGCAAGAATGTCCTTTCCATTTGTTAATTCAGTGTTTATTGCATACTTTACGCTGTAACAGCCATCGACAATATGAAGATGAGTAAGACAGGGTCTTTTTTTTGAGATGGGATCTTGCTATGTTGCCCAGGTTGGACTCAACTCCTGGGCTCAAGGCATCCTTCTTCCTCAACCTCTCAAGTAATAGATTAAGGTGTGTGCCACCACACCTGGCTAAGGTATGTCTTTGGCTTTAATGAGCTCATAGTCTAGCAGAAGACTTCAAGACACTAGGAGAAACCTGTGCAGGATACTCAAAGGCTTTATAGGAAGAAGGGAAGAAGGATGGCGAGTGGCTTTGCAGACAGAAAACAGCAAGAACAAAGGCACAGAAGCAGCAAACAGTATGATGGTGTGTGCATCATGTTACCAGAGGATCATTAACAGTGGAAAGGGGACTGGGCTCGGTGGCTCAGCCTGTCATCCCGCGCTTTGGGAGGCCAAGTTGAGTGGATTGCCTGAGCCCACCTGAGCCACCTGGGCAACTTGGTGAGACCTCATTTCTACAATAAATCAAAAAAATTATCCGGCTGTGGTAGCGCGTGCTTGTAGTTCCAGCTACTTGGAAGGCTGAGGCGGAAGGATCAGCGGAGCCCAGCAGGTTGAGGCTGCAGTGGCCGGGAGCAGCCACTGCATTCCAATCTGGGCGACAGAGTGAGACTCCAGCTCAAAAAAAAAAAAAAAAAATAGTGGAAAGGGAGCTGGGCTCGGTGGCTCAGCCTGTAATCCCGCACTTTGGGAGGCTGAGGTGAGTGGATTGCCTGAGCCTGTGGGTTTGAGACCCACCTGGGCAACTTGGCGAGACCTCATCTCTACAATAAATCAAAAATTAGCCGGGCGTGGTAGTGTGCACCTGTAGTTCCAGCTGCTTGGAAAGCTGAGGCGGAAGGATCGCCAGAGCCCAGCAGGTCGAGGCTGCGGTGGCCGGGAGCGGCCACTGTACTCCAGTCTGGGTGATAGAGTGAGATTCCAACTCAAAAAATAAAAATAAAAAATAGTGGAAAGGGAAAGCTTCAAGCAGCCTTTTATAGACCTTTCAGTCCTGACATTCTTGATTCCTGACATATCTGCTTCCATGGTGGTCATTTATTCTTGTAAGCTTTTCTTGGTGGTTTCATAGGCTCCAATAAGCATGTTAAGAACTCATAGCTCTCTCTGTTCTCTCTATCCTACAGTAACTGAGGTAGATTGTTCATCACTATCCTTTAATGCTAGTTGGGCACACATTACCATTCCAGGTTAGTAGTGGCAGTTTTTTGGTGCCTAGGTTGTAAAAGTGAACAGTGAAGGGTGCTTCCTGGGTTCTACTAAGAGATCAGAAACATCATCTGGTAAAAGCCTCCATTGTATATTATACTTTTTCCATTCATGACAGCCCGTTCTCTTCACTTGTGTAGTTTGCAGCTGCTAAAAATTCTTCCCAAAATGTACTCTACCATGTCTTCCTGTTTAAAACCTACGTCTGTCTGTCTCCCAGTGATTAAGTGGTCAACAGTTTGATTTTCTGTCAGACTTCCAGCTCTTCCACTTACTAGTTGTGTGGGCTTGGGTGAGTTTACTCACCTCCCCCCACTTTGGTTTCCTCATTTGTAAGACGGAAATAATACCAACTTTGTGGGGGTGCTTAGTAAGAATAAGGTGATGTAGGGAAAATACTGAGCTCATTCCCTGACGTACACTTAAGCACTCAAGATTGGCTCTTCTATATGAACTAAGTACGTACAATTAACTGAGGATGTTACTTGTTTTCCTATTTCTTAGCTCTATGGCTCTATTTTATTTGCTATTGGAGGGTAAAAGATAAATGTTTACTGTCACCTAGAATTGGGTTCTGGCTTTTAGGAATCTGAGGCTTGGATGGGTTATTAGCTTTGGAAGCTGGCCTCCAAGTTACTGCTCTAATTTATACTTTTCATTAAAAGCTCAGCTTGCCTCTTCTGCAGCTGTCTTCCCTGGCCTTGAAACCCTAGTGTTTAGCTATAAAAGACTTTAAAATTAACAGGCCGTAATTCACTCCCCACAATGTGTGCATTAATGCTAAGAAGGTGCACAGAACACAAAATTCTCTCCTTGAACAAAATGAAAGGTTGGCCCTATTTCTCACTTTTGGAGCACAAATCGAGATATTTCGATGAAGCATAGTTTGTTTTCTTTATACGGGTGCACAAAACTTTACCAGAAAAAACAATGGTTCAGATGTCAGTAGATCTGAGTCCTAGGCTCTCCCCAGTCACCATGGCGTGCACACATTTTCTTTGTGCCTTGCAGGGTTGAGTATTAATTAGGCGAGTATCGCGCCTAGCATCATACCAGGCATACAGAACCGCCCAAAAAACGGAAGGTATGTAGTAGATCTGAAAACCCAGCCCATCAGGAAAATGAAAACGGGTTCGTTCGGCCATAAGAAGGGGCAATCGCATCTTTTTGTTTGTTTGTTTTGAGTTGGAATCTCACTCTGTCACCCAGACTGGAGTTCAGTGGCCGCTTCCGGCCACGCAGCCTCGACCTGCTGGGCTCCGGTGATCCTTCCGCCTCAGCCTTCCAAGTAGCTGGAATTTATTGTAGAGATGAGGTCTTGCCAAGTTGGCCAGGCGGGTCTCGAACCCGCGGGCTCAGGCAATCCACTCATCTCAGCCTCCCAAAGCGTGGGATTACAGGCTGAGCCACCGAGCCCGGCTTTTTTATTTTTTTATGATTATTTTTTGAGTTGGTGACTCACTCTGTCGCCCAGACTGGAGTGCAGTGGCCGCTCCCGGCCACCGCAGCCTCGACCTGCTGGGCTCCGGCGATCCTTCCGCCTCAGCCTTCCGAGTAGCCGGAATTACAGGCATGCGCTACCACGCCCGGCTGATTTTTTGATGTATTGTAGAGATGCGGTCCCGCCAAGTTGCTCAGGCGGGTCTCGACCCGGTGGGCTCAGGCAATCCACTCACCTCGGCCTCCCAAAGGCGCGGGATTACAGGCTGAGCCACCGAGCCCGGCTGACAATCGCATCTTGCTACTTGACACCTTCGGTGGAAAGAAGAGCGAGGAAGTAGAGTCGCCTGGGGGTAAACACTACACCTCCCACCGTGCTTTGCGGCGGGGCCGGCGGGCTTTACCCATAGTCGCCCCAGCCGCCATCGCGCGTCTTACCATCTAGGCCCCGGATGCAGATGCCCGCCCCACTCAGTGGGCGTGGCCTCGCAGTGGCGCTGAGACTCGGGGCGTTCTCATTGGCTATGGGTCTTCCGGCTGGATTGGACGCAAGGGAAGGGGCGGTGGTCAAGGCGAGAGGCTCCGCGGCAATAGCCAATCGGCAGCGAAGCCGGTCTGTGGCGCGAGGCGGGAACGCTGTGGTTGTGCAGATTTGGCGCGAGCGCGGCTGGAGGTGGCTGCTGGTGCGTAGTTAGTGTTTTCAGGAGCTTGTGGTGGCGAGTCTCTGAGACCGTGTGTGAGAGACGGAGCTGTACTGAGGTAACGCAGACCTGGGAGAAAAGGTAGGAAGGAGAGGCCTGCCCGGAAAGGCTTAGGGTCTGGGAGCTGGGTGAGGACGGGGGCGCGAGCCGCAGGTTCCGTTGAGGCCGGAGGGGAAGGAAGAGGAAAACCGAGCCCACCGGAGGTCAGAGGTCGGGTCAGGGGTGAGGATGTGCGCCCACGGAGGAGTTCCGGCAGTTGTACGTGGTGCGAAAGAGCTGAAAGTTGTAGGAAGGAGAAGTCCCGGGTCGGGGACTGAGTGCCGGGGCAGAGGGAAGACGGAGCTGCAGGTGGGGGCTGGGCGATGACTAGGATAAGCCGGTGACACAGGTGTCCCGCGGGTCCGGAGTGAGGGCAGTGAAGTCCTGTAAGGACTCGGTCAGATGACTCATAGTGCATCGTTCCATTGGTTAAGATCTTGGGCTCTGGCGCCGGAATGCCTGGGGCTAAATCCCTGATTTTCCGTGTGCATCCTAGTTTTTTGTTTGTTTTTGAGTCGAAGTCTCACTCCGTCACCCAGGGTGAAGTGCAGTGGCACGCTCACGGCCACCGCAGCCTCGACCTGCTGGGCTCAGGCAATTCTTCAGCCTCAGCCTTCCAAATAGCTGGAAACACAGGCGCGTATCACCACGCCCGGCTAGTTTTGGGATTTATTTTAGAGACGAGGTCTCGCCAAGTTGCCCAGGCTGGTGTCAAACCCCTGGACTCAGATAATCCTCTTGCCTCCGCCTCCAAAAGTGCTGGGATGACAGGAGTGAGCCACTGCACCCGGCCTGTACATCTTAGTTATCTTATCTTCAGAACAGAGGATAGCAGCAGTACCCACCTCCAAGGTGGCTGTAAAATGTAAATGAATTGACGGGTAAAGTGCTCATAACAGGGTCTTACACATAGTAAGGAAGTAGGTGGTGACAAGTTAGCTGCTATTGTATGGATTGGTACTTGAAGCAGAACTGAGTGCTAAAATACTGTCATAATTTACTTATGAAATGCTGATTATCTGTATGAATAAATTCTATATGATTTTCCCTGCACTTTTACCTACTGACCGACTGTTCTGTTATTTTTTGTGTCCAGCTGTGTTGCCATCATGCCTCAAACTCGATCTCAGGCACAGGCTGCAATCAGTTTCCCAAAGAAGAAGCCACCTCGGACATTGAAGAAAACTAAAAATACTGGTGATACCAAACTAGAGTCAACAAATATCCAAAGTGTACCCTGTTCTCCCCGTGTAAAAATCCTGCCTCTCAGCCCCAGAAAACGTCTGGGTAAGCTATCCATTGTATAATATACTTTTTGACTAGTAGCGCTTGACCTTTTTTTTTTTGAGTCGGAGTTTTCACTCTGTTGCCCAGGCTCGAGTGCAGTGGCACACAGCTCATGGCTGCGGTAGCCTCCACCTGCTGAGCTCAGGTGATCGTTCTGCCTCAGCCTTCCAAGTAGCTGGAACTACAGGCATGTGTCACCCGGACCAGCTAATTTTTTGATTTGTTGTAGACACAAGGTCTTATCATGTTGCCCTGGCTGGTTTTGAACCCTCGGGCTCAGGCAATCCTCTTGCCTCAGCCTCCCAAAGTGCTGGGATTATAGGTGTGAGCCACCACTCCCGGCTGACCTTTCTTTTCTTAACAAGATGCCTGTGCTTTCAAGGAACTTTCTAAGTTCAGGAAAGACTACTCTATTTATTTTAGTTATTTTCAGAATGGTTGCTAAGTGCTTACTGAACTACAGAGTTAAGCCACTTATTGAGATCACTTTCTGAACTGCTTAGTACGTCTGATCTTCAATTCCTTAATACTGAACTTAGTTCTGTCAGTGTTTTAAACGACCTTGCAGATGCATAGTATATGAAACTTGTCTCAAAAATTGTGAAATTGGCTGGGGGTGGTGGCTTATGCCTGTAAACCCAGCACTTTGGGAGATCAAGGCAGGAGGACTGCTTGAACAAAGGAGTTTAAGGCTAATTTGGGCAATATTGCAAGACCTCCTTTCTACAGATAATCATAATATTAGCCGGATGTGGCAGCATGAGCCTATAGTCTTCAACTACTTAGGAGACTGACGCAGGAGGATTGCTTCAACCTAGGAGGTCAGAGCTGCTGTGAGCTGTGATAGTGCCACTGCACTCCATTCTGGACAAGAATGAGACCCCCCAACTTAAAAAAAACAAAAAAACTTGGCCAGGTGCATGGTAGCTCACACCTGTAGTCCCAGCTACTCGGGAAGCTGAGGCGAGAGGATTACTGGAACCCAGAAAGTTGAGGCCATGGTGAGCCATATCAGGCCACTGCATTCCAACTTGGACAAGTCAGTGAGACTCTGACTCAAAAAAAAAAAAAGAAAAATTTGTGAAATTAAAAGAAACAGGTGACATTCTTGGTATTTGTGGTCCTTTCCTTGTTTTAGAATAGAAGTTGCCAATCCTTTACTGTCTTAGAGCATTTGTTTTTAATGGGAGGGTGGTTTGGCTGTAACTGGAGACATTTTTGGTTATTGCAGCTGAGGTTGTCATAGCTACTAGAATAGTGAGTGAAGGCCAGGGCTGCTGCTAAACATCCTACAATGCACAGGACAGCCCCTAACACGAAGAATTATTTGGTCCAAGATGTCAGTGGTGCCAAAGTTGAGAAACCTTTTTTAGAACAGTCACAAAATTTCATCCCACTAAAACCCATTTGATTTCTTTTTTGTTTTGTTTTGTCTTTTTTTCTTTTTTAGGGTTTTTTTGTTGTTATTGTTGGTTTTTTTTGAGTTGGAGTCTCACTCTGTCGCCCAGACTGGAGTGCAGTGGCCGCTCCCGGCCACCGCAGCCTTGACCTGCTGGGCTCCAGGGATCCTTCTGCCTCAGCCTTCCAAGTAGCTGGAACTACAGGTGCGCGCTACCATGCCCGGCTAATTTTTTGATTTATTGTAGAGATGAGGTCTTGCCAAGTTGCCCAGGCTGGTGTCAAACCTGTGGGCTCATGCAATTCTTTCACGTTGGCCTCCCAAAGTGCTGGGATTACAAGCTTGAGCCACTAGGCCGGCCACCCATTTGATTTCTACAAAATACAGTAGTCCCCCTTATCCACAGTGCATACATTACAAGACCCCTAGTGGATGCCTGAACTTGCAGATAGTTCTGAACTTTATGTATACTGTTTTTTTGATCTGCTAACCAAGTCAGCTCTAAGTGACTAATGGGCGGATAGCATATACAGTTTGGATACTTTGGACAAAGAGATGATTTATGTCCCAGGCAGGATGGTGCAAGATTCCATCAAGCTACTCTACAGTGTGCAATTTAAAACTTGTGAATTGTTTATTTCTGGAATTTTCCTTTTAATATTTTCAGACTGAACACTGCAGATAACGGAGATTACTGTAGTAAGATCAGTGGTGCCATCTGGTGACCAATATTTGCTTCTAGACAAAAAGACATTTTATTTTGGTGGTTCTGAGGTAGAAATTAATCTTTCTGGGAGAGACAGGTCTTTGCGAGTCTTTTTACTAGCCAGTGCTATCAATGACTACGTTTTGATTTTAATATGTTTTAGGTGATGACAACCTATGCAACACTCCCCATTTACCTCCCTGTTCTCCACCAAAGCAAGGCAAGAAAGAGAATGGTCCCCCTCGCTCACATACGCCTAAGGGACGAAGATTGATATTTGACAATCAGCTGACAACAAATCTCCTAGCAAAAAGGAACAAGCCAGAGTTCACCAAAACAAAACGCTTTCCTCTGCTCAAAAAAGTCAGGAGACCACGACAAATTCTGAGCTGGCATGTCCACTGGAAAAAGAATCTGCATGTATGAGACTATTCAAGCAAGAAGGTTTGTTCTTGCATGGCAGCTGTTAGTGCAGCTATTGTGACGAGGCTGATGACTCCAAATGAAACCCAGTGGGTCTTCTCAGTCACCTTCTGCTGTGTCTAATTGACCTTTTATATCTGGCACAGGCACTTGCTATCAACAAGCAAAGCTGGTCCTGAATACAGCTGTTCCAGATCGGCTGCCTGCCAGGGAAAAAGAGATGAATGTCATCAGAAATTTCCTGAGAGAACACATCTGTGGGAAAAAAGCTGGAAGTCTTTACCTTTCTGGTGCTCCTGGAACTGGAAAAACTGCCTGCTTAAGCCGAATTCTCCAAGACCTCAAGGTACATTGAGAGTCTGAATTATGATGCTCTTACTAAAGTGACACTTGGTTTTTAAGGGTTAAAAAAGAGTAGTCGTTTAGGACATTGAAGGTTTCCTCAAAATAAGACATTTGTAGTTTCATTGTATAAATCTTTTCAAGTGAAAGTAGAATTTTCTCCCCTACATGCTGTTAGCTCCTCAAAGATGTTTCAAGTTCTATCAAGTCTATCTGAGGCCAAAATAACTCCTATGTTTGTGGTTTTTTTCTAGAAGGAACTGAAAGGCTTTAAAACCATCATGCTGAATTGCATGTCCTTGAGGAGTGCCCAGGCTGTATTCCCAGCTATTGCTCAGGAGATTTGTCAGGAAGAAGCATCCAGGCCAGCTGGGAAGGACATGATGAGGAAATTGGAAAAACATATGACTGCAGAGAAAGGCCCTATGATGTAAGTATTGCTCCACTGCATGTTATTCTGTAGAAATCTGCAATGTCTGTTGCTCACAAAAAGAATAATTCATATATGTGCTCTATGAAGAGTAGTTACATAAACTTAAAGAAGAAAAATATACCTTCTAATTTTAAATTAAAGAAAGTGTTTTAGCTGGGCTTGGTGGCTCAGCCTATAATCCCGTGCCTTTGGGAGGCTGAGGTGAGTGGATTGCCTGAGCCCACGGGTTCGAGACCCGCCTGGGCAGCGAGACCTCATCTCTACAATAAATCAAAAAATCAGCTGGGCGCGGTAGTGCGCGCCTGTAATTCCGACTACTCGGAAGGCTGAGGTGGAAGGATTGCCGGAGCCCAGCAGGTCGAGGCTACAGTGGCCGGTAGCGGCCACTGCACTCCAGTCTGGGCGACAGAGTGACTCCAACTCAAAAAAAAAAGAAAGTGTTTTAAAACCAATAGCTTGAAAATACCAGGACATTATTTGTTTATGATGGGGGTATCCTCATAATCTATTCTAGAGATAGGACAGATTATGGTCTTCAAACTGGGCTTAGCTTTCAGGAATGTGACCTATAGTTAACCTAGAGCAAACAGATTGGAGGGTTAAGAAAGTGAGTATGGATGCTAACTGTTCTCTTTATATGTAGTGTGTTGGTATTGGACGAGATGGATCAACTGGACAGCAAAGGGCAGGATGTGTTGTACACACTGTTCGAATGGCCATGGCTGAGCAATTCTCGATTGGTGCTGATTGGTTAGTGCTTTATTGTTAATGCTACATGGTTCTAAAGTGTTCTTTTTTTAAAAAAAATCTATTCAGCTTATTTATTGCTTATTATTTTATCTTAAATAGGCTTTCTGCCTTCTTGTCAAAATAAGGAAATTACTATAAGATAGCAATTTTTATCTAAGGCAAATCAATTTTGTTAAGTCTGAATAGAAATGACATAATACTGCATTTCAGAGATAATAGATCTTTAGAGTATCTGGTCCTGCTTACCAGTGAATACTTCTAAACCTAACTTGAAAAGAACATTCTGTAATGACTATATCCATCTTACTTAATGGATAGCTCTTGTCTATTGGGATAGCGGGGAGGGCAAGTAGAAAGCAACAGTTGGACTGCTAGATTATAACTGGAGATTTTATTTAGCTTTTAGAAGATTTAGTTTTCCTTTTAGGATGATTTGACCAGTGATAATGATGTTATTTATCTCCTCCTTAGGTATTGCTAATACCCTGGATCTCACAGACAGAATTCTGCCTCGGCTTCAAGCTAGAGAAAAATATAAGCCACAGCTGTTGAACTTCCCACCTTATACCAGAAATCAGATAGCCACTATTTTGCAAGATCGACTTAATCAGGTGAGTGCCGATTACCTGTGCTAGAGAAACCTAGCAGTAGTACTAAAATGTTGTGCTTTTTCTTTTTTTGAGTTGGAGTCTCACTCTGTTGCCCAGACTAGAATCAGTGGCCGCTCCCAGCCACCGCAGCCTCGACCTGCTGGGCTCCGGCGATCCTTCCGCCTCAGCCTTCCAAGTAGCTGGAACTACC